CCTTTTTTTTGAAATTATTTTCCTGAGCCTTTTGTTTTACCGTATATTGTAAACTTTTATGTTAAAGAAAAAAAATATACATTTACAAATTGTGAGATTTTTAAGAGAAATTTTCTACGATGTATACTGGCTTATTTTTTAATTTAAAGCAGGGTTTCCGAGGGCCCTGGTGGCAGCGAGGGGCGTGTTCAGTGCCTCACTCCTGGCTTTGAGGGTTGGGGCTCGTTGGCCCAGAAACTCTGGGAGCTTACAGAAGAAGTCTACTGAGCGTGTTTTGTTTTTTGTTTATTCCTTGCTTTTGTCGACTGACCTGCCCGGTGCCGTCTGCAGGTGCGCTGTGGGGGCCGCGCCCGCCCAGCCTCTGCCGGCGCCGCCCCGCGTCCGCCCCAGCAGCAGGGACAAGGAGGCCTTGTCAGCCGCTCTCCCGCGCACGTGGTTTCAGGGCGTCCCCACTGACCAGTTTGACCCTGGTTTGAATAAAGAGAAGTGCGTTTGGATTAGAAACCCACGTTGTGTCCTTTTATTCCCTCCCTGCTCTCGGCTGTGCGTCCCCACGGGAGGACCTGCGCTGGCCCTTGGCCTCCTCAGCAGTCTCAGGCATGCGCAGTCTGCGCCGCTGGGGAGCCCGGGGCCCCACCTCGGTGCGCCTAGGGTCTTGGCGTGGTGGCGGACATGGATTTTAGGATGGCCTGGGGCTGGGGGGCCTGGTGAGAGCTGCAGATCCAGTGTGAAGGGGCCCAGGTTCCAGGGCTCACGCCACTTGCTGGGTGCCAAGGGAAAGGTGCCTGGATAGACCTGAGTGGGGACCGGCCAGGCCTCCCCATTCCCGTGGGAGTGACGCCTGGATTGTGGCCTTGGGTAGGCCACTCACCTTTCCACAAACTAGGCTGTTGACCTGGATGGTGTGGGCGTCGGGACACCCAGTCGAGGGCCAGCAGGAGGCAGCATGGTGGCCTGAGCCCCTAGAGCTGAAGGGAGATGCCCTAGGTGCACCTGGTGGGGCCTGGCCGTCCTAGCTGGGACCCCCAGCCAGGGGGAGGAGGTGGGCTGGGATGAGTTCCAGCATCCCACAGTGGCCACTCCCCTGCCTGACACACACGGCCTGGCCGGCAAAGTGTCTGCCAGGCCTTTCCAGCCCCGGACATTCTGGATATTCCGTTCCTGTCCATGTTCCTGACTGCCCCTCTCCCCAGATGGAAGGGGCTGTGACCGTCAGTGACCACGGAGGGGAGTCTGAGCTCACTTGCACACAGGACTTCTTTGGCTCTGGCCTGGCCTCTCGGCAAGAGTGGGAGGGACTCCTGGGCCCGGGGGAGGCTGGCCCTGGGAATTAGGAACAAAATGGGTGAATCCTCCTGTGTTCTAGGGTGTGGGGGCCTGAGGGCTGCTGTCACAAACTGCCACCAACTTAGGGCTTAAACCGCTCACGCTCATGTCCTGACAGTTCTGGGCTCAGAAGTCCTAAAACCCCAGCGCAGGCAGGGCTGTTCCCCCCCGGGAGACCCAGCTCCGGCCTTTTCCTGGCCCGCGGCTCCCCCTCCAACTCCATCCTCACCACCAGCAGCGCGGGGTCTGCCGATCTCTGGGACTCCCACCCTCTACCTCCCTCTCGTGAGGACCTCATGAGGACGCCGGGTCCCCCCCTCCTCGGGGACCCTGACAAGGTCCCCTCTGCCGCGTGAGGGGACACGTCCTGGTTCCCAGTCTTTGGAGGCCGTTATTACGTCATTCTAAAGACCACCGTCAAGATTTTGAAAACGTAAAAAGAACAGGGATGGGCGCCGGGGGGCTTAGTTGGTGAAGCATCTGCCTTCGGCTCAGGTCATGATCACAGGAAGCTGGGATCAGCTCCACATCGGGCTCCCTGCTCAGCGGAGAGTCTGCTTCTCCCTCTGCCGCCCCCCGCGCCCCCCGCTTGTGCGTGCTTGCACTGTCCTTCTCTCTGACAAATAAATCTTTAAAAAAAAAAAAAAACTATTAAAAAAATGTAAAAAGAGGGGCACCTGGGTGGCTCAGTCGTTAAGCGTCTGCCTTCGGCTCGGGTCATGGTCCCGGGGTCCTGGGATGGAGCCCCGCATCGGGCTCCCTGCTTGCAGGGAACATGTTTCTCCCTCTCCCGCTCCCCCTGTTTGTGTTCCCTCTCTTGCTGTGTCTCTCTCTGTCAAATAAATAAAATCTTTAAAAAAACACACACACACAAACTCTGGTCCTGGGGCGCCTGGGTGGCTCAGTCGTTAAGCGTCTGCCTTCGGCTCAGGTCATGATCCCAGGGTCCTGGGATCGAGCCCCACATCGGGCTCCCTGCTCCGCGGGAAGCCTGCCTCTCCCTCTCCCACTCCCCTGCTTGTGTTCCCTCTCTCTCGCTGTGTCTCTCTCTGTCAAATAAATAAATAAAATCTTTAAAAAAAAAAAAAAAGTAAAAAGAACAGATTCATCCAAAATGCACCGGATGCCTCCAATGTACCAGCCTGAAATAAAGCAATGGACAGAACAGCCAGAAACCCCCATCCGCACCCACGGCCCAGCTCACGTTCTGGGGCAGGGAAGGTGGGTTTAGCTCGAAGGCCAAGAGAGGGGCGCCTCCCCTGCAGTGCTCACCCCGCCACCCAACAGCCCGGTTTACAGGAGGCACTTCGGGCCGGCGCCCTCCATCCCTACTGCATGTCATCACAGGGTGAAACCTTAGCTCCTTTCTTTTGTGAAATTAATTCTCTGCAAAATGAAGGTTCCTTGGCAAAAGGGCATTATGCAAACGAGGCAGGGATTTCCGGCCGGCCAGGGGCTCCTGGGACCACTACCTTACTCTGGTGAGCGCTGGCAAGCCCCTCGCGTCCCGAAGGACACATCCTGAGGCCCCCAGACCTGTGCTTGTTCTCCACCAGGGACAGGGATGGACGTCCCCTTCTTGGGTACAGTTTAACGGGCTCTAGCCACAGGATTGTGGAAACGGCTGAGGAGGCCGGGCTTCCTTGGAGACTTCCTGTTCCCTCCAGGCCAGCCCCAGCTCCCCACAAAGCTACGGGTCTCAGCCAAACCCCACCCAGCAATCTGGGGGAAGGGTCTGGAGGCTCAGGGGCTGCTGGTCCCACAGGCCCCGCACTCAGCTGGGTGGGGTGGAGGCACCTGCCTCATGCCTCCCCTCCCGCAGGCTCTTGGCATGCTCGCCCCGTCCAACGGGAACTCCCCTCCCGATGCCTCTTCCATCCCTGCCGTTCAGTGTGGTTACCCATATGCTCGGGGTTCCCACTGCCGTTTCACCTGTTTTCTGTATGCTGTGTATCTGTTTCTTGTTTCTGTATGCCTCTGTTGAGGTTTTTGCATTAAATGAGTATCTTCTAGTGTACCGTTTTAATTAATGATTTTTTTTTCGTACCATATATATGTTTGGTTTTTTATTGTGACAAAACATACATTAAGATTTGCCATCATAACCGTCTCTAAGTGCACAGCTCAGCGGCATGAAGCACACTCACACCGTCCTGCGACCGCCCCCACCCTCCGTCTCCAGAACTTTCCATCTCCCCACACGGAGACTCTGTCCCCACGAAGCACGGACTCCCCACCCCCTGCCCCAGTCCCGGCTCCCACCCTCTCCTCTGTCTCTGTGGACGGGACTCCTCTGGGGACCTCCTGGGAGTGGGGTCCTGCGGGATGTGTCCTTCTGGGTCTGGCTCCTCTCGCTGAGCCCGGTATCCCCAAGGTCCCTCCACGTCGTGGCAGGTGCCGGGGTCCCTTCCTTCCTGAGGCTGGAGCGTGTTCCCGCGTGGGGACGGACCGCGCCCTGTGTACCCCTCATCTGTGGGTGGACACTGGGGTGCTTCCCCCTTCGGGCCGCGTGACCCATGCGGCTGTGCGCAGGTGAATCTGTTCGAGTTCCTTGGGGCGACAGCCCTACCGCCTTGTTCCCTGTGTGCTGTCAACGTTAGACCCGCACACGTGTTACAGAAACCTAGCAGTGCACGGCGGTACGTGACTTCGGGTGCTGAAGGCTGGCCGGTCCCCATCAGGGGCGCCTTCTCGGAGCACCCTGCAGAGCCCGCGTTCGGCCCGCCGGTCCCCCGGCTTTTCCTCCTTGCTCCGGACTGACCGCCGCCCCCAATGGAGCGCCAGCTCCCCCGCGGCGCTGGGCCTGAACCCGCACACCTATGCTGGAATAGGGTTGCAGGAATATGAGGTTCCGAAAGGGGCAGCGACGTGTCCCACGTCCCCCAAACACGAGGCGGCCGGCCCCAGCCCCGGGGGTCGGAGCCCCGCAGAACGGCGGCGGTTGCTTCAGTCTGCGCAGCCTGCGCTCGGTCCTCCGGCCAGCAGAGGGCGCGCTCCTCCGCCCAGAAAGCGGAAGTGCGTGCGCGCGGACGGCCGAGGGGCGGGGCGCGCGGGGACCGTGTGATAACTGCGCAGGCGCGGGGAGGCGGTCCTTTCTGGAGGGCTGACGAGATGGTGAGTGCCGTGGGTTGGTGCGACTGTTCCCGGCCGATCCGACGCCATCCGCCGCCTGACCGCGCCGTGAGGGCCGGGGTCAGGCCGCTCGGCTGCGGCAGCCTCCTCCAAGCGTCCGGGGCCGCCGGATTATGGGGGCGCGGGGTGGGCCTGGCTGGTGTCGGGATGACGCGGGGCGGGGAAGGCCC